GTATTATTCGAAGTGGTGAAAACCAACCATGATTCATGGATTTTCGAACATTACAATCTCTTTTCGGTTTGTACGCCTGACAATAAATGCACGAAACATTATCCACGTGATTTTCTTTCTGAAACCGAAACTAGAAATGATGGATATCCATTCTATCGGCGTAGCTCACCAGACGACAATGGCAAAACATTCAACATTTAACTCATGGATCGTACTATATTCACCACTAATTCACATTCAAAACTCATATTAATGTTGAGTATTGCAGTTTGATGTAATTGATAAAYTACGTTTGTAAGTACGTCACTAAAGGAAGCAACATGGCGGCTATTGGTCTTGAACGAGATGAGATCAGCAAGTATCAAATGATCAAATGGTCGATACGTGAACTGCAATAAAGCGCTTTGTAGGATATTTCATGAACATTTTCCGACCGTTGTGCGTCTCGCAGTTAATTTGGAGAATGGCCAAAGAGTATGTATTTCAACTCAGAGAATATAGTACAGCCAATGAAAACACCGCCAGCAACAAAATTAACTTTTACGAGTTTTTGCTCAACTTTCGTCAGTGACCCGTTTGCGAGAACATTGCTGTATTTGGAAATATCTTGACATACATGGAATGAATCGTCGAAGAAATAGTTATACAGAAAGCAAGGCCAACCAGTAGATTGACATCTAGATGTGTTCTCAACTAATTCCTTAGGACGAATTTATACAATCCACTCGTAAAATGACGATGATTTCTACCTTCGATTAATGTTCGCCGTTCAACTTCATTTGGGTCATTGTGAACTGTGAATGGTACAGTGTGTGCAAGTTTTGGAGAAGTAAGCCAGCAAACAAAAATAACATTGCCAAAGACATTTTACATCGCCTTCGCTAAAAATTGGAAATGGGTCAAATCCGGTTGATACTTCCGGTGGTTTGATATCAATTCCRTTCGCCGKTTAYCAATTCACGAAAGATGAACTCATCACGAATGTTTATCCGAACATTGGCTAAATTATAGTAACTACGATTCCTTAAGTGCACGCGCAATGTTAGCTACCGAAAATACCGATGTTGTTGACTTAAACTGGAGGATTCAAAGTCAAATTCCGCTCTTRCAGTCATACAAATCGATCGATCGTCTTGACAATAAAGAYKATGCCGTGAATTATYCAGTGGAATTTCTAAATTCTTTGTAGAGGCTTGATATGTCACCGTCATTTGCGTCTCAAAGTTGGATCTGTCGTTATTATGTTTCGCAATCTTCATGCATTGAAACTGTGTATTTAATCCGACTGATTGTGACGCACCTATCGAATACAAGTGGTACAAGTCCTTTGAGTTCCATGATTTGCCATTTCAGTTCAAACGTATTCCGCTTCCAGTGAAAATTGCATTTGAGGTGACGATCAACAGGACACAACTTGGTTTGCCAAGTTTGGAAGTGCTATGTTTTTCACACGGTCAGATATACGTGGCGAGCTCACGAGTTTGAAAACCATCTTTTCTGTACACCGAAACAGAAACCAAAAAATGCAAAAAATGTGGTTTATCAAGCAACGTTACATTGAAAAAAAAAATGAAATGATAAATTCATCTTTCTTTTCATTTCAAAACATATAATTTCACGCAGGACAACGGCTGCGAGGTCAGCTAGTTTGTATATAAAGATACTGTTTATGTTTTCTTTTCTGTTGACAATACCATGTTCTTAGACAAAAGAAAATACCGCAAAGACTAAAATACACATGTGTGTAGGCTAACGGTTTTAGAAATAACGGTAAACTAATGTAGTCACATAACAAAACCGCCAAATAAGGTAAATAGTGAATTTTAAACAAATTGTGACAGTTCAAATGTTTTTAATTATAAATTTTCGACTGCATGGGTGTTTTTCGCCGAGTGTATGTGTACATATATACTTAACAGAAATTTGATTCCAATGCAAAACTCAGTTCACCSCTTTTTTTTAATGAAAAATCATATTTTGCTATTAAATTTCACATAGGAATTTAGACTAACAAGATATTTTTCTTAAAAACTTTATGTATGTATACATTTGCTACACTCGTTTACAAAAACGGGCGCATACATGTGTTCACTGGTATATTACATACAATGTGCGTTCCCCTGGTGTCGACTGGTGCGTTAGAATCAGCTWTCTTTATCGATTGCCCAGAGAGAATTTCATGACATTTCATTTATTGGAAGTGAAGTTATTCCGGTTTAAGTGTCAGAGCAAACACTACATTTTGTTTAAAAATTRGTAAAACTTTTACCGAAGCCTTTAAATTGATGAAACAAGTTTATGGCGATGATTGCCCGTAGCAGAGTGCGCGAGTGATTTCAACGTTTTCAAAGCGGTCGTGGGGACATAAATGACGATCAACATGTGGGCCAATCAAAATCCGTGATCACCGTGTGATTTCATCTGAAATCATCATTGAAATTCATGGAAATGGAGTTGAACATCTCAAAACATCGATTTTTCGCATTTTGACCGAACATTTTGACTTACGAAAGGTGTGTGCACGGTTTGTTCCACWCAAATTGACTGACGACCAAAAATTGATCAGAATCCAACATTCGAACGAAAATCACATTATAACCATTAACCACTCCCCGTCTTCACCTGATATGGCACCGTGCGATTTCCTCGTTTTCGGAAAAAAGCATTTGCTAATGAAAATAAAGCGTTCTTTAGACGTAGAGGCCATTCAAAAGGCTTGCACCGGCATACTAGCGGCCATACCGGCCAACGAGCTAAAACACACGTTCGACATGCTTTTGGGCCGTGCAAAAAGCTATATTGAAGCCAAAGGAGACCATTTTGAATAAAAAGCAATAAAAAACGTTAACTTCGGTTGCACCGAAGCTAMATACTCTTYACAGGTCCATTTCTGTARGTAACTATGTGTTCAGATTGTATGGAAGCTATATGCTATAGTAATCCGTTCTGWACAATTTTTTTGGAGATTATATTGTAACCTTAAGCAGTAATCCATGTCAATTTTCGTGAAGATACCACGTCAAATGCGAAAGTTTTYCATACAAGCCCTTGGTTCCGATCATTCGGTTTGCATGGCAGCTATATGCTATAGTAAGCCGATCTGAATAATTCCTTCCGATATTACATTATTTCTAAGAACAATAACTTATACCAAATTTCGTGAAGATACATATATCGTCAAATGAGGAAGTTTCCCATGCAAGCATTTGATTCCGATCATTCAGTGTTTATGGCAGCTATATACTATACATAGTAGTCCGATTTAGAAAATAACCTGTGTCAACTTTTGTGAAAATACATTGTGAAATGTGAAAGTTTTCTATACAAGAACTTGATTCCGATCGTTCAGWWTGTATGACAGCTATATGATATAGTGCTCCGATATCGGCAGTTCCGACAAATGAGCAGCT